GGTGACCCAACTGAGTGATAAGGGCCCTAACAGAGAAAAATTGTTCAATGGAGGTTAAGGGCTCGCTTGCTTGTATAAGGAGATTAAGGACTCACTAGTAGAGAATCCTTCAGTCTCTTAAGTTTTGGAAGAACTCTATTTTTTTAATGACAAAATCTGCCCCATTTCCCTTGCTAGAATTGTGTACAATATACTTCTTAGAATAAGATTCAATTATAAAACTACCACCTAGAAAAAGTAACTCCCAAATCCCAATGACAGAAGAAACTCTCACATATCTAAGGACAAAATATACTACAGCAGATAAGGAAAGTAAACTGAAACCACACTCTCTGCTGATTTGCAGGAAAATTAGTGTTTCTTTGTCTTGCTTCCATGTGTCAACTCTAATAGACCACCTCCCAAAGGGATACCTAAGGCTGCTGAGTATCCTCATTTGTTTGGCAATTGGTTTGTAACATCAAATCTTTACCAGCTTACAAACAGATATATATTATGGACGAACCAACAGTAAGGTACTGTCCAAAAGTCACATAGTAAATGTTAGATATTATCAATAAGTTGCTTCTGGAGTGGATTATTAAGGTGGATCTTTTTGTATCAGAGTTAACAAATTTCCACCGTGGAGTGTGAAAGGAAAAATAGAACGATTTTCATTCACATCATACAGTCTGATCAAGTATACTCCTACAAAAACTAACATTATTTAGTTTTTCATTCTCATCATACAGTAGAGCTCTATCATTATTTGCAAGAATGCTATATTTCTAGTTGACTCTTAGATGCAAAAGAAGTTTGTATATTTAACTTCACAGTCTTCAGATTGTTGCATAGTAATTTTATGTATGTGAAAAAAGTTGTAGACTTTAGATGTTCAGATTTTGATAGTTTGCAGATACTGTGTTATACGGACACATAATAATTGCCTTCAAAATAAAGAGATTGCATGGGATTTGGGTGTACTTTAGATTGATAAAGCATTGACTTCACTGGTGTTTTGGCTTAGCATCTATTCTTGTGGTTCGTATATAGTGCTGAAGAAAAATAGCAATTAAAGACTTGCATATATTGACATTATGAGTCTAGGATGACAAAGATCCTGAAGTTTTAGCAGGAGATAAGTATAAATATAAGTAGACATAATTGCCTTCAAGCTATAAAAACTCATACGGTCCAGGTATACTTACCCTTTAGATTCACAAAGCATTCACGTTACTGGTGTGTGGGGCTTACCTTCTTTATCCTAAATTATTGAATGTGTACTTCTCTCAAAGAAAAAAAAAAACTATTGACTGTGACAAATTCTCACATCTAGATGAGACAAACTTTTAGCTGATGAAGAAGCATGTGGTCTAGTAGTTTTCTTAAATAGTGCTGAGAGAAAATTGCCATTAAAGATTTAAATATATTGACTTTAGAATGAGAAAGATCCTGAAATTTTAGCATGTGATAATTGTTGCTATCTTTTGATTGGATCTCTTCAGTGCTGTGTGGTCTTATCTCTACAGATAATATTATGATAATTGGAGCTTCTTACAGGATGACCGCTAATATAAACGGAACTTCTGAATTTTGCTTTGACATGGCAGGTTATTTCATTTATTTTCTGTTAACTCCTGCTGCTACCTGCAAAGCATGGCTATGCTGGTTTTACTCGTGCGGTTTTATTGTAATGGGTATATCTCTTGCTTCTACTATTCATTTGGAATGATAGCAGGAGCTCTGCAAATTGTTTTTCCTCTGCCTCTGTTTCTCAGAGAGTGGAATAATTGGGCAGATTGTGCTTTTGCAGCCTTCCCCAGAATTCTATTTTTTGCAGCATTCCTTCTGCTATTGTCATTCTGGTATGTTTTCTGCTTTTTAATTTTAGAGTCCAATTACATATCTTGGAATGCTTATAATAACAACAGAAATATGGCATCTGCAAAAGCTTCTCTACATAATCCATATAATAGCGAACGCTAAGTGTTTAAGGCTTCATACAGAATTTAATGTTTCAACAGGGATGGACAAAGAGTCAAGTCAAGTCCAATCAAAGTAGTTCTTATTTAAAGAGACCACATTTCTACTACCGTCGCTAAAGAACCTTGAAATTGGATTATTGCGCATATAAAATGTATCTGATCCTAGTGCAGTGAGTTTTCTGCAAGTTTTATTAACTTCGATTTTTCCTTCTTTTATTAATTTGAAACTGAAGTAATTACCTCATAGTTTTGTTGATTCAGAAATAGCAGAAGGCAGGAATTAAGAGGGAACAAACTTCCACCAAAAAATTAAAGAAAAAGAAGCACAACCGTGAACTATGTTGAAGCTTTATATTGGATATTTTCTTTTCAGGATAAGAGACCTTGTGGATTGTAGTACTATGATTATTCAATTACTCATAGTCGTGTCGTTTACAAGTCGATCCTATTACCATTTTAATCTTATTAGAAATTGGGAGGAAACTGATATAGGAGTAAAGCTTGAATGTCTCCGTGGAATATAATACCACATTTTGCATTTTTTTTTCCTGTATTACCTTTTCCAAGTTAAGGAAAGGAATTCTTAGTTTCTTAATTTTTCCTTGTACATTAGAAAACAATTTGATATATTCAACAGCCACCCTTGTTTCTACCAGCCTTTTTTTTTTTTTTCTTATTATAGGGTTGACCTTTGCCATCAGGCTGATCATGAAGATGAAGAGGATGATGACCCCAGTTTTCTAGAAGCTTTGCTGAAGAAGTCGCTAAATAGGCCAAGTTCATCAAGTGCTGATAGTCACAGAATATGCTTTCCTTTCCGATCAGTTCATGTTGGAAGCCGTCAGAAAATAGTGATTTTGGTATGCCGTGATAATTTTATCTTTTTCTCATGTAGTTTTGGTTTCCTTCTGAAATATATACACATGCGCATTTTTGTAACTTGAAAGAATGAGGAATATACATGTGACTATCTATATGTTGATGATGGAAGGCCAGCACCTTTGTGAACATATAGGTACATACATGCATATCCTTTATTCTCTCAAATTATAAATATGTACATCTATGGATATATTCTTTTTTGTGTATGTGTTCAGAATACAAATGTCGCTATATGTATATACACACATTGATTAACTCTTAACTCGGTGAGCAGGTAACTGTTATACTTGTTCTTCTGATGATGACATTTGCTATGCTAATCTGGGTTGGGATGGGAAGTAATTCTATTGATTCATCAACCATAGAGCAGGTATGGGCTTTTGAATAACAGTAATATTTTGATTCATCCTTGAACATTGTGTCTTATCAATTTTTATTTTTTATTTTTTGAAAAAAAAAAGTATGGTGTGTATCGAATGATAGTATTATTTTGATGATTCATCCTTGAACATTGTGTCTTTTCAATTTTTATTCTTTTTTTTTTAAATAAAAAGTATGGTGTATCATTAATTACAAGCTCCAACAGGTGTCAATGCATGTACAAAAATTTTATAATTCAAGTAGAATGTCAATAAGATTCCTAAAATGCAAAGAATTGACCCATAATAAAAAAAATCCAAAGTTTAGAACCATCCATCTCAAACTCTATCAAAATCTGCTTCTACTCCCTCAAAAACTTTCTTATTTTTTTCTTTCCACAC